ACATTTTAAGTAGATGATTAAACTTGAGTTGCCAGGTGTCTGATAGTTTGTGTCTGGGAAATCATTTTTGAAAATATCTATTTCCACTGAAGCCATCTGGCACCCCTAGAAAAATATAAAAGGGAATCTCTGAAACAAGAAAAACCATGAGCAAAGATGCAGGAGCTTTATTATAACCATTATTATTCTTGATCAACAATTGATACACGCCCTGGGGACATCCATATTCCATGATCTAGAGCCCGCAGGTGCAGACTAGACCGAGCTGCAAGTGCAGGAACAGCGCGCCTGTGGAAACGCCCTCCCTCTGGCTGCAGAACTGAGAGGCGAGGATGCGTCTGGATTTCTGCTGCCAAGTTAGGGTGGTCTGCACGGCCTGCTCTGGTGGTGCCGGCTCCAAGCAGCCCTTCCTGGAGGCTGGCTCAGAGGTCAGGCGGAGGACGGGGCTCCCTCAGGCCGATCAAGGCTGGGTCTCCAAAAGCCACCCTCAGTTAATACATCACAGTGATGGAGAAACACAGGAGTGTCCTGCAGTGCAGCTTCCGGGGTTGGATGGAAACAAACACGAACTGTGACATAGGCCGGTGACGGGGAGGTGGGTCTCACAGGGCTGCCTGTGCCCTCACCGGCAGAGCCAGGGACCAGGGGTGGTGTGAGAAGGGTTGGTGGGAGCTGGCCGACAGCAGGTTCCGCCGAGCAGGGACAGACAGGGCCACACCCTGTCCAGGATCAGTGCCCAGAGACTGTGACGTCCGGCTCAGAAATGTGGACTGTTTGAGAGCCCTGGCCAGGACACAGTGTGGGGAGGACAATGTGACCTGCCCATGAGGGGATGGGCCAGGCAGGTGGGCACTCGGGCAGGAGGGGTTCTGGACAGTCAGTGGGACCAACAGGCTTTTCTAGCTCAAATGGAATGTGGCATTTCGGTCTCTGAGAGGCCACGGCAGGCTCTCACTGACTCCTGCTCCAGCGTCCCAGAGTTGGCTAAGCCTGTTCCCTACCCCGAGTCACAGCCAGGGCGAAGGCAGCTCGAGGGGGGACTACCAGAAGGCACAGGTTTGCCTCGATTTCCCCACTGAGCCTGTGTGGATGGGGGTGGGGCTGACCCAGGGCCCACGCTGAGGCCTAGGGACAGGAGTGTTTCCATGATGTGCTTCCCCTGGCTTCCCCTGGTCCCCAGCCTGGCCCTCTCACCATCGGGGTGGGGTCGGGGAGGCTGCACCGGTGCGGTTGCTTCAGGTCTTCTCTCTGCCTTGCCCGGGCCTGCCAGCTAACGAACGCTCTCGGTTCTTACTCCCCGTGGGTGTTAAGATGGTATGGTCCTTTATGAAATGATGGCGCTTTCCCTTAGCCTGACCCCCCCAGGCCCTCCAGGTGAGTGTCCACTTGTACACAGAGAGGGGCTGGAGGCGACTGGTGAACC